CACGGCCGTCCACACACCAAGGAGACGCCAGCCCTGCTCACACCTGGACCTCAGATCCCAGCTTCCAGGACGGGGAGACATGAAGGTCTGTGGTGTCTGTTGCAGCCGCCTGAGCCGATTCGGCGTCCAAATGATCCCTCTCCTCCGACAAGAAACATAGCGGGGAAGGGCTCCGGGTGACAGCAGCTCTTCTGGGGAGGGGCCCTCTCCCGGCACACAGACAGCCTCTCACCGGGAAGCCCCATCCCAAATCGCCTCCGCTCCCCGAGGGTTCTGACGCTCCTTCCAGCTGCACCAGGGAAACCGCTTGGCCGGACGGCAAGCGGAGCGTCCCCGGTCCCGGGAGCGTTCCTGTCGACCGAGTCCTCCCCCAGGGCCAAGCAATCGGGTGGGCGTCTGGCCCTGAGGCCCCGGTTCTGCCAAGATCAGCGACGCCCACGGCAGGTGGGAGATGCTTCTTCAACACGAGCCCAGTGAAGGCACGTCCTGCTGTGGACAGAATGTGCGTGACCCCGAATTCATATGCTGAAGCCTCAAGTACTAGGAGTCAGGGGCTTCGGGAGGTGAGGAGGGAGACACGAGGTCATGAGCGTGGGGCCCCCGAGGTGGCATAGTGCCCTTATGAGAGGAGGAAGAAACACCAGAGCAGTGTCTCCATCGGGTGAGGACACAGCAAATATGCAGGTGGCCATAAACCAGCCGTCCCCACACGCACACCTGCTGTCCCCTCCCACGCACACCTGCCGTCCCCCCATGCACACCTGCATCTCCCCCAAGCACACCTGCCGTCCCCCCCCACGCACACCTGCCGTCCCCTCCCACGCACACCTGCATCCTCTCCACATACACCTGCTGTCCCTCCCGCGTACACTTTCCGCAGGTCCCAGCAGGATCTGATTATCTGCCCCCTTCAGCCTTCCTGGGCAGGCGCTGTTGGGCAGCACGTCCCGGGAAAGCTGAAGTGTGTTCCCCGGGCGCCACGTGAGGGAGAGCGGCGTCACTTCTGAGCAGACGACGAGGCCCCATAAGCGATGCTTCCTCTGGTTCACACAACATATCCCATTCTATCTACAGCTTTAAAAAAAATGATCTCAGAGACCTATAAGGACAGAAGACGTGTCAAACGTGAAGCCACACGGGTCGGGTTTTGTCAGAGGCGGTGGGATCCGGGAACAGGTGCCCGCGGTGGTGGCGGTAGGGGGGCCGGGCTGAGGGCTTGGCAGGTTTGTAGTTAAAAGTTTTTCCCGGCGTGAGGCCATTCTTGAGTCTCGGGGGCTGTCGGAGCCCGAAGCTACACACCCCGTTTCAATCCAATTCAGCACAACAAACGTTTATTAAATGCTCACCAACATGTGGTTGGCTCCCAAGGCAAAGAAAGGCAATTTTGGAAAGAGGCCCCTCCGTCCTGGAGCGGACGACCAGCAGGGCAGGGAAAGGGGACAGAGGATGGGATTAAAAGTGTGCTGAACAGAGCTGCAGGCGGTGTACGTGCGGCCGGAGGAGGGGAAAAATGCATGCTTCATAATTGCATAATTATAGGGGGCCTTACGGTTTTGGAAACGCTTTCACATCGATTATGCCAGCCATGTGCACAACACTCAGGAGAGAGCATTACCAGAATTAACAAATTACGAAAACCGAGGGGCAGAGCAGAGGGAGGGGAGGGGCTGCACTGAGTGGCCAGATCTCGGTCCTTCCAGAGACCCCAACCCTCTCCATCCTCCTCCTCCGTCTGCTTCCAGGTGACACACGTGCCCCCTGTGCGCGTGGCCCCGCCTATCAACTCCCTCCCCGCCTGCATTTCCGAAACCCCACCCTCTGTCTGCTCCTCGGAGCTGCAGACACACAGTCGTGGCAGCCCGGCTGGCGTCCGGGAGGAGAGACCCGACTCTCACACCTCAGGGCTGACCGTCCTGAAGTCCCTACCTGCCTGTCCCCCACTCTTCGGACAGGCACCACCACGCTCTCCGATTTCCCTGCATCAGAAACCCCAAAGGCTCCCCGAGTCTTTCTTCTTTCGTCTTTCATGGTCAACCAGCCAAGACCTGGCGATTTTATCTCTGGCATCGTTTGTAGAATGATCTC